AACGGTAACAACGGACTGTTTTCTTAGCGGATGCATGTAAATTTAAATCAATACATACAACTATTTTTTAAATCAATAAAAACATTTTCTAAATCCATAAAAGCATTTCAATTAATATTGGGAGTCATGTCGTTACTTTGTTGAGAATGTGGCCGTGTTTCCTTATGGGGAAAATAGCACCCGTCATGCAGATCAGGATCCCTCCGCTACACTTTGGGATCCTGATCTGCCGACGAGGCTTCATTAAAATATAAATATTTTTAGTGAATTACTGAGTTTAGGCACGTTAATAACGTTTTAATGAAGTTGAATACAGTATATTCATATGTGTCAGTGATTTCATGTCAATTCGGCGAACATAAACATAAATGATCGTGGTGAAGATGATGATTAAATTAGGATTAAAAATCGAGAGCCGGGCTGCATTTCCTCCCGTTCGTTTTTTTCGACTAAACAACATTATTTTGTTAAATAACAACATGGTGATGTTTTGTAAATGATTACATGTCTCTTATTTAGCACAGAGTATGATATCCGTGACATATGGATCTTAACAAAGTTCCGCTGTACATCCAGCGTACTGTATCTGACTTTATTTTTCATGAGCTCCAGTGTGGAACCCCACTGCACCCCCTGGTGGATCAATGATCCATTGCAGCTGGCTTCATTATAATTACATTTATGTATCACGGGGGCGGTCTCAAGTCAAACTGAAGGTTTTCCCTTGAGCGAGGGCAGATCACGTACCAATCACGGCCCTCGCGTTTCAAACTGTCTGAAATGAATCGCTACATCTCTACAGGCCTAGCATATGTACTACAGCGTCTCCAGTGCTTTCGAGCGGTCTCTCATTCCCCTGATAGGTGGAGATTCGCCCATATAGGTGGAGCACCCCTTTTCTGACGTCAGAAAAATTCAAATAATAATTGCATGATAGGTCCCCTTTAAAACATCATGAGTTTTTGAGGCTTGCTTTAAAATATTTTCTGGGTTCCTTTCAGGCTGCTCATGTCTAAAATGTGTTCAGGCTCAAATATACAGAAAAGTGATTATAAAGGGTATTAGCCCACATCTGACTTATGTTATTTAACACTGACGGGTGCAAATTCACACAGAATGGGTTGCATCCGCTGATATCTCCATGAATTGCGCATCACTTGCAACTCCTATCTGCCATCTACACTGCAAATATGCCCGTAAAGTCTAGAATTCCCTTTTTTTCTTATGTTTGGTTGCAATTATCCATGTAGCAAAGCCTAAACACGCTTGAGGCCGATGAGTCATTGTGAGGGGGGAAGTCAGCCAGAGTCTTGTCAGGAGGGGGTTGCCAAAATGTCCCTTCCATCCAAACATCCCGGAGGCAATTCAGAGAGAGGAGAAGTAAAAATGTTCACCCGGGCCGGGACTGAGAAGAGCGGGGAGAAGGAAGGAATAATTTTGTATCTTTTGTAAAACTAAATTGACTTTGTTGTACTTTAAAAAAATACCATGTAAGGTATTTTCATTTATTTGTATGACTTGTCACTGTATCACAAAACAAACTCCTCTTTAAGCCTCTCATGGTGCTTTAGTTCCCACCAACTCTCTGAAGACGTTATTTTCACTGTGAATGTGGGCGGCTATCAACCCTGATCTTTGTTAAATGGATTTTTGTGACTTTGCATTTGCAGAGAACAGTTAGGTGCAATATGTATGCATATTCCTTAATGTATATGTGCAAATAGCACAGGAGCAGACTGAAATGCTATGTGTTTGGCATCACAGTTTAAGTTGCATGTCACCCTTTATTAATATATTCCCTAGGCAGCACTATACTTTTATCAATTGGATTAGAATGATAGGATAATATGATGAAGTTTGTATTATTATTTGTATTAATGATTTTCAAACAGGAGTCTACAGCCATGCTTAGCTCTGTGGGGTTGCACTGAGGCACACTGGTGCGTTGTTGACATGCTGATGTTATGTTAACTAACTATAATGCAATTGAGTAAATTAGCTCAGTAAATGGATGACAGCGGCTACAGCATGTCCAGTCAGAGCACAGGCTAGTTCATTCCTCATTCCAAGTGTCTTCAGATATGTTAAGCTTGGTTTAGTATTAAGACTTTAGCAGGGGGAGACAGTGACAGGCACTTAACCTAAATGAACAAACACAAGTAGTAATATAACAATGCCTATTAATGTAATATTATCAGTAAGATATTTCCTTCTACTGTATGACGATTAAAATAGCTTGCTGTGAAAAAGGCCTGTTGCTGGCCTTTCTGAACAATAATGTTAGCTGAACAGGGTAAACAAAACAGCTCGTTAGCATGCTAACAGTTAAACAGCTAATCAGAACCCAGAGTCTTGCTGGGCAAGTAGGAAGATGCCTAAAGACGTGGGAGGTAATATTTTCAAGGTCTGCTGTTCTTAATCTAATGACTGCACTTCCTTCTTAAATGTTGATGACTGTTTATCATCTGCCATACGAAGTAACAAAGGCAAAAGGATCACAAAAAAAAGACAAACGTTCACTGGCTGCTTCATCTGTGTGCACAGTCAACATGGTTGTTATTTTGGAGAATGATCTCATATTGCTTTTAATATTCTTTGTGAATTTAATCTGTTTTAGGTTGGCATTGTACTCCACTTTGCTTCTTTGTCCACCATGCTGTGGCTGACATTTACTGCTAGGAACATCTGTAAAGATGTGTCCAAAGACCCGCTCCGGGCCCACAAAAGGACCAAGTCGGCCCAGACTCGCACCAAACCAACTATCCTGAGGTAAGCTGTAAGCTAGTACGCACTGGTTTATGAGCACAACATCCTTCCTTTCAAACCCTTATGATAGTGTGATGTGAGGCAGCTTTAGGATGTTAAACTCTGTTGCAAGGATTATAGCAGTGATGCACAGGTCATTGGATCCAAAATGTTTTACATTAATTCAGTGTGTTAAGCCAACCAGCCCTCATGCAACTCTTGAGTGTCATGCAGACGTGCAGAAGTTAACATTAATACTTGGCTACTAGGTGCTGTCCATACATATCAATGGAAATACAAATACATATGTGTTGGATTAAACGTATCATTTATTTGCAGATTTTATCTTGTAAGTTATGGAATCCCTCTCATAATTGTTGGAGTTACTGCAGCATTTGGTATGGACAACTATGGCAGCCGGGATGACGCTTTGTAGTAAGTGCTCAGTATTTCTGAACAATCCAGTTTTCATTCAATCTTTAGAGAATAAGATAAATGTTTATGTCTCTGTGTCTTTTCAGTTGCTGGATGGCATGGGAACCAAGCTTGGGGGGTTTCTATGCCCCTGTGAGTTTCCTGGTCTTAGTGGTGTGTGTGTACTTACTGTGCTCATATATCCAGCTCAAACGGCACCCAGAGAAGAAGTATGAGCTGCGCCTCCTGAGTGAGGAGCAGCAACAGCTGTCAAACCACCACTGCCATACCGACACTGGGGGGGTCTCTGCGGGGGATTTTCCACCATTTGCAACAGGCGTGTCGGTGTTGGCCAATGAGCACTCGTTTAAATCTCAGCTGCGGGCCACAGCCTTCACCATCTTCCTGTTCCTGTCCACCTGGGCTTTAGGAGCGTTAGCAGTATCACTTGGACATTTTCTGGATATGATATTCAGCTGTCTGTATGGAGCTTTTTGTGTCACTCTGGGACTCTTCCTTCTGATTCAGCACTGTGCTAAACGTGATGATGTGTGGCACCGCTGGTGGGCATGTTGCCCGTCCAAGTCCAAGTCTGAGGACAGGAATGGGAACAGACAGAATCAGAGGCAGGAGCTCCATCAGCCTCACTGCCACCTGAGCGCTCCATACTCCGGCAAGCAGCCTCTACTCTCTCCTTATATTGTGCCCAGTTCCTACCACACACCACCTTCACATAGTCCCCCAACCAATGACACGGGTCCGTGCTGCGTGGCTGTCATGAGTCCTGTTACTGCCCCCCTCTCACCTCTCCCTGAGCAGTTGCCCTCCCCTCGTCCACAAACGCTCTCTGGGGAGCTCCCCCGCCCCACCCTGCCTCTTCAGAGCTGCCTTAACGACAGGACAAAATCCCGCTCCTTCAACCGTCCACGTCCATGCCTTCAGGACTACCGCTCTCACCTGACTTCCACCAGCATGGATGGGAGTGTGCACAGCCCCCACCTGGACAGCCCTCACGCACCACACCACCTCGCTGGATCGCCATTGGTTTGCCAAAGCCCCCACCCTGACCTGCAGCTGCCCTGCCCCAGCCCTCTCTTGGATAAGCAGCTGGCTTCCTGCCAAAGCTTGTTACGCCAAAACTCCTGCCACAGCGTACAAGACTCAATAGCTTCCTGTCACAGCCATGTACACAACATGCATGATAGCATTACTTCCTGTCACAGCCTCCTCATGCCTTCTCACGGGGTGCACACCTGCCAGTGGCACATGTACAAATCAGCGGATCACTCTTCTACTACAAGCTGCTGTGAGAAGCCTGATCCCTTCACCTTACAATATCAGCAAGACCCCGACACATACAGCAGTGTGTCAAAGACAAGAGATAAAGAAAAGGATAATCTCTGCGTAGAGGAACAGGGTTTCCCAAGAAACACTCTGCCTCGGCACGGCACTATGGGCCGGCGAGGAACCATCGGCAGGAACAGGAGCCTGCAGGAAGAAGGACTGTTTGGTTCGGACGGACCAGGCACCATACGGACTGGCCCTTGGAAGAATGAAACCACTGTATAGTCTTCTTATACTTGCAATTTGCTCAGTTTCTGGCATCTGATCGCGCTTATCCATATGACAAAGTATAAATGTTGCCTTTTCTCCTAGAACATGGTAGGCAGAACAATGGCAGAACAAAAAGAAAAAAGTACTCTTAGGCTTCTATCTTCTTGTCCCAACTGACAAGGCTTTCCTTGTAACTTCAGGAAAGGAATTTAAACGTGACAGAGATAAATAATATTTTGCTTATCCTTTGCATGGATGGGGGCAATTTCTTTTGAAAACAGCACAGGAGCATGGTAATCTGTTATTTATACAGATTTAGCAGTCACATAATCTGTGCAAACCTTTTGTGAATTTACCCCTCAGTGTCTTCCAGTCATAGGTATTACTTCAACATTTTATTTGTAATTTTCTATTATGATTTAAAAAATACAGTAATATTCTTTAGTCATACTTAACACTCACAAGCTCATCAACCAGAACGGAAAGCTGCTGTGTTCACTGCGGTTTTGGAGAAACTACCTTACTATGCCGACGCATTTGGAATAGTTTCATCAGCCATTGAGGACTATTAACTATAATGAACATAAACATCTGCAACCCCCCGCTAATATACAGTGTTATGCAAACATTCAGTCAAATGTCACTGATTGCACCTTTAAATACTTGTATTGATACTTTTGAAGATATTTTAAATGTGAGTGGTTACACGTGAAAACACTTTTGAGTCAGTCTGAGCATGTGTGTGTTTTTTATGTGTGCAACAGTGAATGAACAGGTACATACAACTGTGGTGTGTTTTTGTGCTATATGTATTTATTATTATGGAATCACCCTTGAAGAATTTTAAATTAATTAATAATGATAAAGATTAATATATGAAGCCTATGAAGATTTCTATGGAGACACTTTACGTATGCTGCCAAACAGTAAACTAGACTCTTATCTGACAAATGTTGAATTAGTATATACAATAGTAATTCACCCGGTGAGATAATAATTCCAAAAATACTGCAATGTGCTACAAAGCACACACTTTTTATAGTGCCAAAATGATGTGCCAGCTTTCACTGTGACGAGAAAATACACACTACTCATTCTCAATGAGTGTTGAGAGGTCATACAGTTTGAAGCATCATACAAACTTGAACTCAGGTTTTAGAAGATCATCAGCAGCCATAAGTTGTTCCAGAAACTTCCATGCTTCCTCCAGAGAGGTTTTAGCACTTTACACGTCATTAACAGCGTAGCTAGGCTCTGTTTCTGTTCTCACACAGTGACTGACCTAAGTTACTTTGGAAATCTAGCCTTCCAGACTAGCCTAGTTCAGGTAAGGCTAATTTGCAGGCCCACCTCAGCCTGAAAAATATGTGAGATGATGGCTGTGTGTAGAGCTTTATGGGGCTAGCTAGGTAGCATTAGCTTAGCCTAGCATACATTTGTACCATGTGACTTACCATTAAAACACATACAAATTAGACAAACCAGATAAAGTGTGTTAAGTATTGAGCCTTAGAGGTGCTGGAAGGTGTGTTTTTGGACTTTGGACAGAACAAGGCTAACTGTTAGCGCCTGCTCTCCTGCTTCTTGCTAAACTAAGCTAATCACCCACCGGCTCCACACTTAAAGGCACATACATGAGTTACGATATTCTTATTGGTTTTCAGATATAAAGTTATGTTCATAAAAAAAAGATTAAATCCCGATCCTGTTAGTGTGAGGTCATTACTAATAATGACAATATCATCTTAATTATTAACTTTTTCTATAGTTTTTAATCCCATATTATGACCTTCACTAACACATTTTTTTTTTTTTAAACTGAGCTCATTAATTTATTTTTTAGAGTAATTATTATCAGAAATACACATTTATCTTTGTATGCTCAGTGAAATGTATATCTGTGATAATGTTGTTTCTGCAAATATAATTTCTCTTTTAAAGATGTTTTCCTGTGCTCAAGATGTCTTGTCATGCCTTCGGAAACGAGACACAAATGCAACGCCGGTGAGAGATAGGTTTATTATTTGTCAAGGTTAATCCTGGTTTCAGTGAGCTAGGATCACTGAAACCAGGCATTTCAAAGAAAGCCATCCTTTTCTAAGTCTTCATGAAACACCTCTCTAGTTCATGGTATTTAGCCGCACATTTGGAGTGAAAGTGCAGGCTGTTGAATTTGACTCATTTTTGCATTTTATTCTACTTTAAGGCCATAATCAGGCCTTCATCCTGGAGCTTGTGTTGATGTAGAGCAGGGGTCGGCAACCCCTGGCACGCGGCACCGTAACCAGTGGCACACTACGAATAAGTGGAATAAGTGTGCAAAAATATTTTAATTGTATTTTCGGATCCTGAACGAGACCGCCGCCAGAGGCGTCTCCCCATTACCTGCAGAAGGAAGCCGTGCACGCAACGCAGCCCCGCTCTCTTTATCTCCAGGTGACTTTCTGCCGCTTTCCTCCGTGGTGCAGTGCTGATCGTTTCACCACGGAGGAAAGCACTTCACTAATCGCAGTACCCATAAGGAGCTGTAAAAACGCCGCAGTTTTTGCGTGGCTGTGTATTTAGTTGAAAGCCCAGTGGCGATCTGCTCATTTCTCATCGAAATAATATGCTACAAAGGGGCGGACTGGCCATCTGTGTGTTGAACTTTCCTGTCGGCTCCCAGACCGTAGTCGAGGAGGACAGAAGCAACAAGCTTCAGGTTCGATAACCCACTTCAGCTTAAATGACTGGAGAGAGGCGAGCTCTTCTTGGTAGGCCGTTGCATTTATTTAGCTGTTCTTCTGTTTCACAAAATACATCAGACCTCTGTTTTTCTGCTGCCTCGTTTCACTTCCAGAAACATACACACGTTCCCTTACTCTCGCTCTACCATCCACAAACACACATGCACAAGCC